TCTTGTACATACTTTGTCTTTGAATTTCGGAAAGTTAATTATCCACGCTATACTTGGACAGCGAACATTCCCTTGAAATCCCAAGTTCCCAGCTTTCTCAGTTCCTGAGTTGCTCAAATTCCAGCCAGGAATTTTACGAGGCCGTACGTGGTAAACACGCATGACGGGTGGGGGAGGGGGCTGAATTTGGTAAATTCAAGTTGTAGATGAGTTGGGAACATTTCCTGAAAGTTTCAGCCTCCCAGCTTTCTTAGTTACCGAGCTAGCGATTTTCGCGCCAGGAACCCTCACGGGGCCGTACGCGGGAACTACGCACACCTGGGGGCTGAATTTAAAATCTTTGAGTTCTCTGTGGACGGGTTCTATATGGACCTTGGCAGTGCATCAATCGGAACGACATGGCAACCGTTCAATGTTCAGCAACGGCAGCTCGAAACAACTATTGCTTTGCCAACGTGTTTCACTCGTAACCCCTTCAGGGCACGCACAGGCGGATCCAGAAAAGACTCTCGAGGGAAGGGGGGGGGGGCAGGGGAGAGCGAGTGGAACGGGGGAGAGCCTCCTCCTACCGTGGAATTATGCAAGACTAGGAATATAGTTGTAACACTGCTACTTAGAGTTACTTTAGTTTTATTTATGAACAGACCCTGGCTTTTACAGCACTGGCGCCTGGGCAGCTTCGTAAGACCCTTCGTCCCGTTCTCCCTTCCCTCCCCCCTCTCCCCACTTCTTCCTTTCCCGCTAGACCCGCCTGTGAGGGCATGACACCGAATTTCCGAATCGCCAATGGGCTGGCCATTGGCCAAATAAGTGTTAAATTTACCAGATGCAAATTTGTGATTACAGTGTATGAATTAGGGCTAATTCAGGTTTTCTAGGCATGGGCGGATTCAGGATGAACTCCGGAGTGGGGGGGCGGGGGGGTGGGGAGGTGAAGGGGGCGGCAGGGGTTGGGGAAAAGCCCCCTTCCACCCTGGAACTATGCAGAAGCTAGGAATGGAGTTATAACACACAGCTACTTAAAGTTAATTTTGTTTATGAACAGATCCGGACTTTTGCAGCACTGATGCCTATGCAGCTGAGGGAGGGGCGAGGGGGAGGGGGAGGAGGAGGGTCGCTCCCCTTCTTCTCATGGATCCGCCTATGATTCTCTCCTTGGATCCGTCTTCTGTGCTTCTCTTGGGCTGATCCACGCATCTTTGCGGTTTTACCCTTTCTAATAGGCGTGTGATGCACAAGAGGGAGGGAGGAGGGGTGATGCTTGGTACCTCATCGTTTTGCCAATATTCGTCGGCCAATTGCCACCCCCAGGACCGCGATACAACTCTCACGCACGTCCAGTTCCGCATACGAGCGCATGAAAGTTTTGGCGCGAGAATTACTAACTCGGAAACCAGATAAGCTGGGAGACTGGAATTTAAGGGGATGTTTCCAGCGTGCATGCAATTTAAAGATTTCCAATTCAGCCCTCAGGTAGGCGCGGTTTTCGCGTGCGATGCCATGGTAGTTTTTGGCGGGAAAATCGCTAGCTCAGAAACCAGGAAAGTTGGGAGGCTGAAATTTTAACAAAATGTTTTCTGTCCAAGTACCACGTGGTTGCACAATTAACTTCCTAAACTTCGAAAACAGTATGTCACAAATCCTAACTATTGGGATTTATTGCATGTATGTATGTTTTTGTGAGTCATCGTCATCATCATTCTCCCTCACTCCTTTCCTTGCCACAAAGAATATTTTAATAAATTTTTGTACAAAAAATGTGCTTGCCTATAATACCAAAATACTGAGTTTTTTACTGATCCGATATTAGGTTTTTCGCTAACATCGGAAGTTAGATATGTGTCAGGTGTGTTGTACCTGTACTGGGATGCATGATCCAGCACAATATTCAGGATGACAAGTGCTTCGCGATTTACCGCCATCTCACTAATAACTTTATTCCAAAGCAGCTGATATCTCATTAATGGTTGCTGTGGCAAAAGTACTGTCTGGCGGTCCTGGCAATGCAAAACATGAAATGTAGACGTTTTTTATACACTAACGTTTCTTGATCAAATTTTCTTGGCGAATATCGGAGTTGCTGGCGGTGTTGTCAATCGGTGGACGTCGCGCATTAGCTACGGTTGTTCCAAGAATATAAGTGACCACTCGACCGCTTCCATAGAAAGTAAGGATCAAAGGACTGACAGAGATACACCTAGTATGGGGGAATATACAAATAATATCATCGAAATGTTTTGAGTTATCATCATTATCTGAGTTCTAGTAGTATGTTTAGCAATTGTGTCTTCCAGACTTTCAGAAATATTTATTCAAGATTGCCCGAGGTTCGAATTTGATCACTTTTACAAAACAGAATTTGAATTTTTATGGTTTCTTCCTCTGTCGTTTTCCTGGTTTTCTGGTGCTAAATTAAGAGGGTGCGGTCATTCAGTATGAGTTCGCAAGTGTCTTTGCAAGTTTGTTTTCTGGCTGAAGCTCGAATTGCATTGACCACATTTGAATGGCTTCTCACCAGTATGAGAACGCATGTGGATTCGCAAGTGTGCTTTCTGGCTGAAGCTCGAATTGCATTGGCCGCATTTGAATGGCTTCTCACCAGTATGAATTCGCATGTGTACTTTTAAGTTTGCTTTCTGGGTAAAACTTGAATTGCAGTTATTGCATTTGAATGGCTTCTCACCAGTATGAGTTCGCATGTGTACTTTTAAGTCTGCTTTCTGGGGAAAACTTGAATTGCAGTTATTGCATTTGAATGGCTTCTCATCAGTATGAGTTCGCATATGTCTTTTCAAGCTCATTTTCTGTCCTTCTGGAAGTGGCTGACGACTATCAGTGTAGCTGGTTGTATCGTCCTGTGCCTGATTCTTCAACTCGATTGGGCTCTTCAGCTGAAAAATAGTTAAGAATCAGTCATCTTTTTTATTAACGCCGAACAGTGACCATTTACCAGTTTTTTACTCGAAAAGAAGTCCCGCATTTCAACTCTTTTGGAAAAGGGC